TTGCTCACACATCTTTCTACCCCCTATAACGCCACAAAACTAGAATTCTGAGATGGTATTTAGAGGCTGTTAGGAAGTAGAACCTATATATTTGTTTTAATTTTTTTCCAGAGGTTCTACAGCACATGGGGATTATTTAACAGTTTCTAAGCACACATGATCCATTTACAAAGACAAAGCACCCTTTGTTTCTATAGTTATTTTTATGTAAAGCTATTAAAGGAACAGGAAACATCTTTCGGCAGCCTTTTTCCCTAGCACTGCCCCAAAAATAGTCATTAGTATTAAGCATAACAGAGACTAAAATTGTTTCCCATAGATGCTTGGAGAAAGGCTGTAGGGTAACACTAAAGCATTTGGGGTTATTTATAATAAAGCTTGTGCAAAAAACAAGATGCCAATTCACGTGTCAGGCAGACAGTGGCAGCTGCTTTGTTACTATGTGGTGCTGTCCCATCCTAAATCAAATGGGAAATGGGTACTGTTTGACAGATACTGTCATCAGTTACAAACATTATTAAAATAATTAAAAAGCTGCTGCTTTTTTTTTTTTATCTTGGGGACAGGCTGTTGATTTCTTCGGGTTTTCCCAACCCTGGTGCTCAGGAGTCCAAGATGAATATTCCTACACCAGATTTTTGATCCAGCCAAGCCTGAGCTGTGATTTTTTTTTTTATCCCAGTGGGACAGTGTAGCTACGTTCTTGGCGTTTTCTGCCTATTACCAGTTAGGGTCTGTGAACAGAATCTCCATTTGTGAGAACCTCATTGTGGATAGCACGCAGTGGTCTTTTCATTTTGATTGATGGTTCTGGTTCTGCACCATCTGGCTTCTGATAGGCTGCATTAATCATATCCTGAACTAAGAAAGTGTAGACATGTCTGCTTAATATGTACCCATACATAATGTAACATTAGTTATTCATTCAGCTTGCAAAACACTCATAATGTATGCAGGGTCTTTATATAGTAAAACATAAATATTAATATGTGACCCATTAATGCTGTTTTTACTTGTACTAACCTCCCACTAGTGCATTTGTTTATGAAGATTCAAATTAAGAGAAAGAAGGCCATGTGCACATTTCCATGAACACATATAGTTTTGCTGATGTCTCCTATGAATTTAGAGCGATGTATGTGTGAAATACTTATTTGCCCATATTTACTTTATATCTCTAATTGCCTCTTGAAATACAGGTTAAATGCAAGCTGCAACACAGATTAATTTTTTCTCATGTGAACTCCTTGCATCAAATGTAGGTCATCCATTTGCCGGGGTCGTGGGGGCGGATGTGGCTGTGCTCTTTTGTGCTGCCTCTGGCTGGGCCCACTCTGTCCCCTGCTGTGTGATAATGTCAAGAAAAAAAGAGGGGCCAGCAGAGGCCAGACAGGAATTCAGAAGTCAAACAAAGTTTGCTCCGCATTTAGGACTATCATACTTACCAGTAGCTCAAATTCGGTTTTAAAAATTTGCTAGGGCCTTTTCCATTTAAGAGAAATTTAGTGTGTACTAATCATAATCCTTTCACTACCTAGGAGATTTAAATTCTCCTGGGAAGTTACCTTGTACAGAATTGCTGGAGCATATTGCTTGAGATAGCAAATTAAAACCATAACTTGATAAAACACATTTTATGTTTTATTAATTATGTTTTGTCATAACAACACTGTATTCCCGTGTGGTTACATCTTCTTGTATGTGCCCCCAAATCAAAGTATGTATTTTAATGAATTATGCTATTGCAGAATAAGTGAAGATTAATGCTTGTGTGCTGCAGAATGCAAAACACAATCCACACTGTAACAGTAATCAATCATCGAATAATGCATGGGAAACACGGCAAACAATCATAGTTTTTATTAAGAAATAACTAAACTGCAACTTCTGCTTGAAACGTAATTGCAGTGAGGTTTAATTAGTCACATAAGCTCTATGAGAAATACCAATAGAAACTGTATAAAATGTAATGCAGGGATTCAAACTGACATCTTAAGAGTTTCAAATATTAAGATAACACCATGTAGAAAGCTGGAAAGAATAATTTCAGAAATAAAATTAGTACTTTAATGTCCAGCTCCTCCTTTCTTATTTTAAAATTACTTTTGTCTGATTCTTCCAATAGTTTAGATCCCATTATTGCTTAATTTATTCTATTAAGTGATTTTTAAAAATAAGCCCACTGTCAAGAATACAGCATTGACAAACCAAACTAGACAGTAAGAAATCTTGTATGAATAGTCTATGACCTTGGGCACACTGATGTCGTTCTAGGAATTTGCGAAGAGTGCTAATTTTCATCACAGAAGGCAGAGTTTGTGTCTTGACTTTGTCTCCAAACTAGCTGAATGATCTTAAAAATGGGTTCAAACTGACTGGCCTATTTCCAGATTAACCCTCATTTAAAGATATAATAGTCTGGGTGAGCTTTTTATCTTAAAAAAAAAATGTTTATTAACCTCAAGCCTGGTTTCTTATCTTAAAATTGAAGATCATCCCTGCCCTTAGTTTTAGTTGTATGTGAGGGTCACATGAGATAATGTGTGTGTGTTACAAACTTTTAAGTACTTTAAAAATATATGTACTGTCATTTTTATTGATTAAATTTTCCTGGATTTCATCTGCTACATTCATGAGAGTATGTGCGATGATACATTCTCCTTTCATGTCACAGTAAATTTTAAGAACCAATAAAATGATGAATACATGTGTTGGCTGGTGCCTGGATTTCTATTCTTGTGTTAAGTTCCCTCTAGAGCTTACAGGAGAGGTTAAAAACTACTTTTCCCCTGGAAAGGACCATATGCTAGTTCACTACATAATTACAATATAATATAATTTTCTTCTTCCAGCAACATATAAACTATTGGACTGTGCTTCTTTAAAATTAAGGACATTCATCCTGAAGCTGGGACAGGACTGAAAGGGAAGGTATTTGAAACCAAACCATTTGTTTAGCTCAGGAAGGCAGTGCCAGAAAGACAGCTTTCAAGAGGCCAGTGCTCCACTTCTCCATTGGAGAATGGGTGCCATCCAGAAGGGGGCATGAACAGATGGGTAAGTTAGAGAACCTGACAGCTTTCCTCTCCCTCCACAAGTCATCAGTAGACTTTGCTTGGAAAGGTAGTAAACTCCCAGAATGCCAAATAAACCTCTTTCAAGTATATAAATACCGAAACAAAAGTGACTTTTTTATTTGTAACATTTTAATGAATTTTAATGTTTTTGTCTTATCATGAATATATGAGTGTTTACACTGGTATTGTCTCCTTTTAGTGTTACCAGCTTGTCTGAAGGATAACGAGACATATGTGTGGTTCTCCAATTCAGGGAAATCACTGTAGGCCATGCTTTGTGTTCACTTCGACTTTAAGTGAAGTTAGGTGTCCTCTGTATACTTCTACCTAGTGTCAAAGCACAGATTCATATGTGTGTAAACAATGTGCTTATGATACTACTCAATAGTCTTTATATACAGGTTTTTAAAACTCGTTCATTTGTTGTCTTTATGCACAAGACACTGAAAATACAAACGATAAGATTCTGTGTGGTCCGATGTCTTGACACACTCCAGGCTGTTGGGGAGGATGGAGATGAACACCCAATTTTAATTGTAGGATTCATATGTAATGCCATTTCCACCGCTGTTATTAATCACTGTATTATTAGTAGGAGTATTAATAGCAAAGCATAAATGCGTTTTAAAGGAATCTTGTTATGAAAGTTTAACAGAAGGTCATTCGAAACTTTGAAAGCACAAAGTATTCAGTGCTAGCTTCATGCCTGAAAATGGTTGTGGGGATCATGACTTATTAATTATTTCATCACATAAATCTATTGCTCTTTCCCCTAAGAACTAAAACTGTCTCATTTTTTTTTCCAAGACCAGTATTTAGGGGTTTCTCTAAACTGTTGTGGCATTTGTGGCAACTTCACCAAGAACGCGCTGGTCCCAAGGTACCTTTTCGAGTTTCACATCTGCCTTAAATTGCAACCAAGAAAACCACGCGGATACCCATCCAAATCACTGTCCAGTGCTTTTTCCTTCATAGCACTGAACTCGTGTTATTTCTTTGACTGCTTCTCCAATCATAAAGATAACACGGAGGAATTACTTCCTAGCTGTCCCTCCTATGCTGCAAAAAATTATTGCCCTCTGCTCTTCCCAGAGGCCTCTAAGGTTACTGACAGCCCTGACCAGTGTCTACCATTGCCATCCCCTCGCCCCCACCCCTTACTAAAGTGTCCCACCCCATACCCTAGAATACAGATTAGAATCAAAGCAGGAACTATTGGGAGGAGAATGGGGGTTGGGACAGTCATGCATTATGCAGAGTTTGTCAGTGTTAATGTGAACAAAAGGTCACCAAGACTCATCAGATTTATAATGGAGAAAGAGTATGGTTCTCTGCCTTTAAAAATTCCTTATTTTATAGTTTACCTAGTATGCTGCAATTATTTAATTTTGAGTTAAAGGTACTGTTTGTGGCAAAAAACCTATTTATTTTTAATCATAGTTGATTAACCTGTATATTACTAGTTACGAGTTATTTCAGTTATTTACAGTTTGTACTTGACCGTCACTGCCAAATGCAGATTTCTCGTGTAAAGGAACTATTCTCCTTAATTTATTTTCTTTTTCATAGCCTGTTATGGTTTTTTAAAGGAGTTAAGGCATGAAAAAACCCTTAAACAATAGGCTAAAGTCGTCCTCTAAATATGTGAGATACTTATCTTTTCAGAGAACCTGTATAATTTAGGGACGTTTTAGGAAATAAAACACATGTAGAATGTGAATTTTTTTTCTTATTTAAAGCAATCACTTTATTAGGTTTCTAACCAAATGTTAGAGGAAGTAGGAAGATGCTTATCAGAATAAAATAACCTGTAAGCCATGGTGTCCATATTTTTCCAGGAGTGGAAAGCCTTCATATCACGGCTATTCAACTTTCCATTCCACAAACACCATCGTTTATAAACATTTCTAAAACTGCTCTCTGTGTCCTTTCAGTTGTATTCTTGCTGTTTTATTCATTTTCCCCCTTTTCCCTTTCACATTAACAAAGTAATTCACTTTCATATGTATTGCTAGAGTTGTATTTTTGTTTCAAATGGTGACTGCATCCCTCAACCCCAAAATGTCTGGGTAAATAGTTTATGGCCATCTGTATTCTGTCATGCAAAAGAAGATGGTTCTTTCAAATAAATTCAGTGACTCAGCCATCACAACCAACATTGCATGGTTGCGTGTGTGCATGCGTGCATGTATGTGTGTTTTGGGGGGAGCTATCATTTTATAATTTCATCCACAGACAACCACAACCCAGAGCTTTTTAAATGCCTATCTTTTAACAAACATAATTTTATTTCTAACATTTTTGTAATCCAAATGTGCTAAAACATCTAGGCATCAGAAAGAGTAAGTGCTTTGCAGCCAAGTGAACCTGGCTTGGAAAATGCTTTCTCTCATTGACTAGCTGTGAAACTTTGGGCACGTTTCCTAATCTATCTGACCCTCATATTTGTCATCTGTGAAACAGGGAAAATAGTATCTACTCTATGACAAATAAAACTCAAAACAATTGATTCATAGTCAGTAGTCATAAAATCTCTTGCCTATTTCCTTTCCCTTTCTTCTAAATAATTTCTTGGATAATATGTTCAGTAGTCTAGACACTTGGAAATACTGAATTATTAAATATTTTCATGTTTCATTTCTCATGTCTTTCAATGGCAGTTGAAAAAAATATATTACCATAAGACATAAGCACCTGGACATAAGCATCGATTAGCTCAGTCAAGCCCATCTGTATACATGAGGTCAAAGTCAGGTCCCACCCTAGAAAACATGGTGAAGTCAAGTTTGCCTCCTCCAGCAGCGAGCTTCTCCTTTTCCGCTCTGTGTGCCCTTCTCGCTGCTTATGGACTCAGTGACCTCGCGCTGTCTGCAATCATCCACAGTCAAGCCTGCTTTCAACAGAGAATGTGAGAAGCACATCCATTACAAGATATACATTATTGAAAAGGGTCAATAGGAGAATCTCCCTGGCTATTTTCATTTTAACAAAAGCGACGGATTTAAGTCAAACTATTAACTACTAATTGTTGATTCTTATGTGTTAGTGAACCTTTCTGTTTTCTAGCAGACACTCTGGAACTTGTGAATTACGGTGTTCTGAAAATTATTTTTAATTGGCTCTTTTGCCTTTAAGTGGCTCCTTTGGATGACTTCTGACCCTCCAAAGAGATCCACAAATCACTGGAAACTGCTCCCTTCTGGCAGAAGCCCATTTCACTTGTGAGCAAGTCATCCAGTAAAAGGCACAACGTCGTCAAGGAAGGGAATTGGGAACAGAACAGAGGATGTTACTTACAGCAGAACTACTAACTATGGTTATTCCTGGTCATCAACATTTCACAAGAAAGACTTAAAGAGCAAGAAAAGATAGAAAAAAATAACTTCTGCCTTTAGTGCAAAATCAGTTTTACTGTGCCTTTCTTTTCTTTCCTTTTTTTTTTTTTTTTTTCTTCTAGGAATCTTGTAATTTTACATGTAGATCTATGTTCCATTTTAGTTAATTTTGAATTTTTTTTTGAAACAGGGTCTAGCTCTGTTACCCAGGCTGGAGTCTAGTAGTGTGAACATGGCTTATTGCAGCCTCCACCTCCCAGGTTCAAACAATCCTCCCACCTCAACCTCTCGAGTAGCTAGGACCACAGGCATGCACCACCATGTAGCTAATTTTTAATTTTTCATAGAGATGGGGTCTCACTGTGTTGCTCAGGCTGGTCTCAAACTCCTGGGCTCAAGTGATCCTCCTGTCTCAGCCTCCCAAGTGCTGGGATTACAAATGTAAGCTACTACTCCCAGCCTACTTGCCTTTCTTTAAAATCTTTACTTTTAGAAAATATCTGAAAGCAAATAAAAACCTCATTAATTGTGAAGATCATGTATTACAAGCAAGAATATCTTGTTTACCCTCAGGTGAATTACAAGGATATTTTCTTCACAACCCTTAATAAGGCAAAGACTGCAAATACGCACAGATAATTGTTGATAATCTCAGCATTGTGCTGACTTTTTGTTTCTTTGTTGTGCTCTTCTGATAGAGGATTTTGGTACATACGGAAGATCAAGGAGAAGGAATATAGAGGAATTCATTTAATTGCCAAATATTTCCATGAAACATGTGAATAATACACTGTCAAACACTAGATTATTTACTGCCTTGTGTGTTTGCTTAATTATGCCTTAGTAACTAGACTGTTCATTTCTCAAGGATAAGGACTATGTCTTACAGCTTCGAACACCCTTAAAGGAACCTAGGCTAGTAGTTGACATTGAATAGATTCTAAGTGAATTCTTGCTGACTGGAATTACATTTATGGCAAAGCTACTTGCAGATTACTTGTACTGAGACCAAATGTAAACGCTAGAGTCGGACATGGTTTTCTTTGGACACACCTTGGATGTGACCGATGTCCTCCCCACCCCCCCCTTGGGCATACCTTTATAATAAAACTTTAATTCGGTCAAACTGGTATCACTGCATGTTTCTAAGAGGCTTGTTCACTTTCTGACCAAATTCTCCATCTTCCACCCGGGGTTCTTGGTCGGGGTTGGTGCCACTCTGTCAAGGGGGTACATGGAAATAAGGAGGGGTTGGTCGTTGCTAGTGGTGCTACTGGCATTACGCTGCTAGGCGCCGGAGGTGCTAAACATCTTCAGTGTTGCAGTCTGCCACAGCAAAGCATTGTCGTGCTCACAGCACCACTAGTGCTCAGCATTAAAAAACACTGGATTCCTGAAAACCTTGTCCTGCTTCGTATATTAGTCCGTTTTCAGGCTGCTGATAAAGACATACTCAAGGCTGGGAAGAAAAATAAGTTTAATTGGACTTACAGTTCCACATGGCTGGGAGGGCTCAGAATCATGGCGGGAGGTGAAATGCACTTCTTACTTGGCGGCAGCAAGAGAAAATGACGGGAGAGGCAAAAGCGGAAACCCTGGTAAACCCGTCAGATCTCGTGAGACTTAACTCACTATCACGAGAATAGCATGGGAAGGACCGGCCCCCAGGATCCAGCTACCTCCCCCTGGGTCCCTCCCACAGCACGGGGGATTCTGGGAGTTACAGTTCAAGTTGAGATTTGAATGGGGACACAGCCAAACCATGTCACTAAGCAAGCCTTATATTTCACCACTCCCCGCTTGCACGCTATATTTAATCCTTACTGAGCTACTTCGTTCTGGATCATGCCAAGCTCTGTCTACTTCTGCATCTTTGCAGATTTTATTTCTTAGGCTCCTGACCTACTTTCTCTGCTAGTGAATGTTTTTTAATCCTTCAGCACTCAGCCCAGGCACCTCCACAAAGCCTTTGCTTCCTACAAACCCAGCCTGGAATAAGTGGCATCTTTTTGTGCTTCCCTCTGCCATGACATTTGTCCCAATGAATTGTGGTTGTTTACTTTCATATCCTCCTACTAGAGCAAAAGCTACTTAAGAATAAGTTGTATGTCCCAGCAGTTCACTCAGTGCCTGACATATAGTGGGTACTAAATAATTTTTTAATGAATGCCTTTAAATCAGTGACACTGTCAGACAGGAGTTAGTTCATCTGGCATATATTCACTGTGTATTCCTCATAACTTCATGCCAAGGAAGAGTCTTGGCATGAAGCAACACTGCCATTATGGATGGGGAAGAAACCTTAGGAATGAGGTTAGGAAGAAGCGGCAGAGAAATGATCCACATAAGAGGGTCAGCTCAGGCTTTATTCGCTCAGCAGCCCTTAAGACCGTGAGTGGGATGCGGTGGTAGAAGGGGCCCAGCCGACACTGCTCAAAAAGTTTGGAACTTGGACGCAGGCTGTCCACAAACATATTGACCCAAAATCAGGTACCTACAGAAGTAGGAGTAAGCATTTAGGAATTTGACAGAATAATTTTGTGTGTCTTAAATCTTATACTGAAAACATTGGTGCTTGTCTTTAATGCCATTTTTTCTAGTCTTTAATCTTCATCATATCTTATAAATAAATTGGTTCCTGGTGGATCTGAATTTTTTTTTTTTCCAAAGAAAGAAGGAAGGAAAAAGATTTCAATAGCTGGTCCTCAGTCGTGGGCACCAGACTGATCTAGGTATTCCCAGCAATGACTCTTGGTTTGTACCGGATTCCAAGTTAGATGCCAAAGAATCAGGAACTTTCTGCCAGTTCTTTGCTTCCTTTTCTCCCTTCCTGGCAAGAGGTTGGCTTACTTGAGATACAGGCAAGCAGGTAGGACAGGGTCCTCTCTGAGTACCTAGATTTCTACGTAAGCCAATAGTACTTAGCCAGAGCTGCCATAAGAAGAAAAAAAATTCTGCTCATCTGGATCAAGCCGGTCTGACAGAACACTGGGACACCATAGCATCTGGGGTGCCCTGTTTTCCCCCAAACAGCAGAGTTTATGGTAGCATAACTAAGTCTAGCACCTGCCCCCTGGTGGACTAGAGGCCACCAGTATACCCTTCATTCTGACGACGATGAGCTCAAGAAATGTATGAGACTGGCTGGATTCATAGGCTAAGGAGCCTCACTGGCAGCAACTCAGCAGGTTATGGGAGGCAGTGGCCAATGTGCCTAGGGTAAGAGGAGCATAGTGCCAGGTAGTGTGAAGATTCAGACGTGAACAGTGTTGTTGACAGTTTGATCCCAAAGCATGGACAAAAGTACAAATAGAATGCTCTAGGAGAAAAAGAGAAGTTCAGAATGTGATACAGCAACCTTAAAGAGTAAATACGAACCAGTTTGCGTGCAGATTCAAGCAAGGCACGTTACTTTTACAAACTTATTGGAAGAAGTTGAAGACGGTAATGGTAGTGGTACATTTATTGACTGTTAAGTAAGAAGCAGTATGACCCTCATAAAGATTGTTTATATGTAGCAGGGTTGAAGTGCCACGTGATAAAACTCATAAGCTTTACTTACAAGAGTTCTAACTAACGTAGAAAAAAATCCTGCCAGACATCGTGTCTGCTTTGTTTGGAATAGAAGCATAAATATCTAATTTGCCTTGTTACAGAGAAGAATGCATGATCTATGCAGCATGTAACCAAATAATCATCCTATCAGGCTCCAAATGTAGGGAACATAGTTAATTTGCTGCTTTGCCCTAATCCTTTTTTTCAGATGGTGAAACAAAAATCTCTACATTTGTACTTCATTTAGTCATATTTCACCTCTTAGAAGCTAAAAACACAATTTTGCCAGAAGATCAAAAATAAAAGCAGCCAATAGCATAAGTCAGTATACCTAAATTAGGAAAGTTAAAAACACACACAGTAATAAATTTCGGAAAGTTTTTTTTTTTTGCTCCCAGCATTTCTCTAGTCTGTAGGCCTTTTTTTCTTTTCCATTTAAGTGTTGTGTCATGAAAGCAAGTGTCTCTGTAATGATAAATATGTCTCAGGGGTGCAAGGTAGGACCCTATAAACCTTTAATATTAGCATTTCATCACAAAAGTTGCTTTGTTAATTTTTCTGTTGAAGAAAAATGAGGGTGACTAGCAGCCTGAAACGAAAGCTTAGTTTTTGTTTTTAAACAAAATTGACTTGATGTGGTTTAGGTTGAAAACTGGATTTTATTTTTTTTAATTTGTCAGGCTTTTATTTTTTAGGTGGTGCCTTGCCTGTGTTAGATGTTTCCGTTTCCTGGTGTATTTGTAATACCCGAAAGCAAATGAATTTTTATGAAACCATAAAAATGATCAACTGTATACTCTTATATAGAATGTTCATGTGCAGCATAATTGTTTAATGCTGTTTTCTTTCCACATTAAGTCGCCCCGAAAGACTATTGATTGTCGCAAACACTGTTTCTTCATGCCAGAATTCTCCAGACCTATGTCTCAAGGGACCCTAGTCAGGAGGGTAATTGTGTGTGTTTCTGCTCTCTATTGAATGCCTGGTGACAGCCTGTCTGGACTGACTCAGGTTGTAGAACAGTGCATTTCACAATGCTGAGAAGCCTGCCATTCTGGTGTCAAGTGGGAGTAACCCCTCAGTTATGGCTAAGGGAAGAGAGAGTTAGATGGTGAAAAACAGCACAAGTTTAGTTGATACGTTGTATTCAGAAAAGACTGAGATACCATTATATGTGAAGTCGTAATTTTTGCCTTAATTTATAGATATGTGCCCAAAGCACAGTATTACTTTCATTTGTGTAGTACTTTCTACAAAGCACCTTACCTATGAATCATCTCAGCACCTAGACAAACAACTCTCTTTGATCCTCAGTTTTCTGATCTGTATAAGTGGTGTAAAATTGCACAGCATCCTATTAGCCTCACAGACTTGTGAAGGTCAAACGTAACGGAGCTTAGACATGCAAATGTTATTTTCCCGTCACAAGGGTAAAGTCACATAAATGAACAACTGTTTTTAAAGCAACTAGTAAATGCTAAATACTGTGCCGTGGTCAGCGGAGTCCAGTTTCCTATACTGGGAATGGATTCTGGCCTTCCTGTGACATTTTATACTGAATCACCGGTTCTTAAAAACTGGACGAGGCTAGGCGTGGTGGCTCAGGCGTGTCCTCCTAGCATTTTGGAGGCCAAAGCGGGCAGAGTGCGTGAGCCCAGGAGTTAGAGATCAGCCTGGGCAACATGGTGAAACACCATCTATACAAGAAATACAAAAAAAAAAAAAAAAATTAGCTGGGTTTGGTGGCATGTACCTATTGGCCCAGCTACCTGGGAGACTCAGGTGGGAGGATCACCTGAGCCCAGGAGGTTGAGGCTGCAGTGAGCCATGATCATCATGTCATTGCGCTCCAGCCTGGGTGACACAATGAGACTGACCTTTTCTCTACAACAAACAAAAAACAAAGATGAGACTAGGTTAATTGAGGATGGGGTGAGGAGGGAAATAAGGGATGTGCCCTAGCTTTACATATTTTCTAAGATTTTCTGTTTGAAGTATCCTTATTTGCTTTAAATTTGAGATTTACACAAAGTGATTTCAACCTCATGACGTATCCAAAATAAGTTCTGCTTTGCTAGGCTTGAGCCCTAGGGGGTCATGTCCCCTTAGGCTGCCCAGAGCCTTCAGGATTGTAATGTGTTGCACATGTTTCTACGAGGGCCGCAGAGCTGGATGCGTGGAGCTCATTTGCATGCACTTGATTCACAGCCTCTGTTTCCAGGCAGTCACATTTTCCTTCTCAGAACAATGTCCTAACTGTTGAAAGTGTCCAGATTTCTATGTTTGTTCTCAATGACGAAGAGCAGAAAGTCTATAAAAATGTTAAATTATGGTAATAAAGTAAATGTCTTCATTTACTGAGCTGATCTTTCACATTTAGAATAAATATCTCCTTTGTAGTAACTCCTTAGAAAAATTCCAAAAGCTTTGTAACATTATTATGAGAAAAGATAGATGTTTTTTTCCCTCCTCTTGTGAAACTGGTTAGCAACATCCCAGAAAGCTAGAATTCCCTAGTAACCTTTAGGTCAAGTGCCTGTCTTCACACACATCTCTTTTATTCCACCTCACTTGTGAAGGAGCAGTTTATTCTTAATTCCTAGCTGCCTTTTAGGAGACCAAGTTAATCTCAGCAAAGAATGGTAAATCAGATTTGCAATCTGTGATGTTAGAAAATAGAGTGATAGAGTGATATCAAGCAGTTAGAAAGAATCATACAGATCACTTTATCTCACCACTTTACAGCCCAAAGAAGCAAAGTCTCTGTCTAAAATGACATGGCTGCCAACCTGGATTACGTAGCAGGACCCCATCTCTACAGTAAGCTACCACAAATGCACTGGGCATGGTGGTACACACCTGTAGTCCCAGCTACTAAGGAAGCAGAGATGGGAGTATCCCTTGAGCCCAAGAGTTCAAGGCTGCAGTAAACTGTGATTATGCCACTGCACTCAGCCTGGACTGCAGAGTGAGACCCTGTCTCAAAATAAAATAAAACTATGTGGCTGGTTTATGGCTGATTCTATAGTTCAGTACTGTTGACACTAGATAACACAAAGAGTGGGATTACCTAAAGGTTCTAGTGGACTAGAATGTAAGGTTTCTAAATAAAATAAAGGCATGTGAAAACTGGCTTGGAGATTGTACCCTTCTAAACAGCTAATATCCAACGTTACATCCATCTCTCCTTAATGGGTGTGGACTCCATGTAATACAGTTGCCCAGTAAAAGAAAACATGGTCAAGTACTGCATCAGGGAGCAGGCATTTGTCCGAGCTGCAACGCATGCTCTCTGGGTCTTGGATTTTTTCTTGCTCTTAAGTTAGAATAATAAGATGGCTGACATGAACGACTAATGTCTTCATGGAATACCATTCTTTCATAAAAATCGCCCAAAAAAATCACAGTTAATGTCCCAGAGCCCAGGAGGAAAAGGTGTTTTTGACTTCTGACCCTAACCTTTCCAATTTATCCTTCAAATTCACATAGGTTCAGCTCAGAATAAAGGTGGAAAGAGCCAGTTGTACCTTAAGGTTAAGCATTGGAGAGAGGTGGGAGACACGTAGAATCATTTTGAGAGCCTCTGGTGTTGTTTGTGGGATAGACTGGTCCCTCTAAGACACTCTTGAATTTACCTTTTTATCCAGATTTCTTTGGTTTTATAATAAAAGTAAACCTTCTCTTTTTCCCTGTAGTTTTCCTGTCTGATTCATATCCAAGTCTGCATTTTTGGAAGCCCACACATGTCCATGGTCCATCAGTAATAATGTTTGTGGATGTCATGACCAAAGTCTTCTTCAGCAGGCACAGTCAGGAGTCGATTACGGGGGCGGGGGAAGAGGAGGGGACGGAAATCAGTACCTAGAACCTACTGTCCAACAGGTGGTCTTTTGCTGTGCAAGCATCACCAAGTCTAGGCAAGGACCAATTTGAGTTTTTAATACATAAGGTCATTTATTCCCCCGATGTTTCTGGATAAATAAAAAAGATAATTTTATTTAATATAAAGAAAGCTCAACAAGATAAAATCCTATAAAGCTTGAGTCCACAACTTTATTAGTATGTTGCTTTTTACTAACTGTTAAAATGTTAAAAGTGGTTTTAACGTTTGATTATCTGAAAATTATCACCCTATGACTAACTTTCTTATGAGACTGGCAAATGGAGTATGATGGGGGTAATGGGACTTGTGGAGTTAGGGGCCCATTCTGGACTCCATGGGAAATCAGTCCATCACACAAAGGCTTAGAGGTGGAAATAATAAGAACAATGAACTCTAACCTGTAGCTCTGTGTCCATTGTCCGTTGTTAATTCCCACAAGCCTCAATAGCGATGGAAGCTGAGCTTCCTGGCGAGTGCCCTGCAACCAAGACCACCATCTCTCCTTGAGTCCTGTGGAATCCTGACTACTGTGACTTGAGGAGAAGCGATTATGGGTTGATTTCAGGAAAGAATGATGAATAATCACTTCCATTTGGTGAAATATAATCTGTGGAGGGAACATGGGTGTTTTTACTGCCTTATGAAGCAACATGAGGAAGAAGGAAGAAAAGCATGTAGAATCTTTTGCAACATGCTATAAAATAGCATATTTTGTCTTTAATAATTAAACAAAAGCATTTTTATTCACAGAATGTTATAATCACATTGCTAATACAGCTTAATGCTTACTTTTTAACTAATTCATTTTCTCATTTGTGCAATCTAGAAAGGTTTATTAAATCTAATGACTGTTTTAGGATTAAGTAGGGGGAAAGCATGTTCTAATTACGGGAATGGATAAAAGCAAACTAATTAACCAAAAACGTGTATTTCCTTCCTCATAGATATCTGGTCAGCCATATCTGAGATGAACTTGGGTTACCTAGCTTCTGTGTTTTTTAATCATGTTTTTCGATTGCATTTTTTACACCATCTGTACCATTAACATGACTGTAATTTCTGTCACAGTTGGAAGCTTCAGTTAATAAATGTTTTGTTTCGGAGGGGGATGGGAAGCAGACAAGAAGGTGGGAGTGTTTACGAAGGAACCAAAAGGGAAGGGACCCTGTCTTAACTGAGGGGCCATGAAGTGAAAATCCTGGACTTCTAGAACTGTGAATTTGGGATTGTCCTTTTCTGCCCCACCTTATAAATACTCTTAATTACTCCTTCTAAAAAATTCCAGCCTAGTGGAAAGTGTTAATCACCAGCTAGTCAAAAAAATCTAAGTAACCTAATTGATATACAACAAAATATATACAGAAGAATGTGTGGTTGTTTTATGAAATTCAGAGGATTTGTTGTGTTTTGTATATCCTGAACAAAGCACAGAATCACAGGACTATAGTTGAGAGTTCCAAATAAATTGATATTTTATCCTGTTTTTTTAGTTAAGGTTTTTCTGGATATATTTTTCTTTTTTTACTAGTAACTACTGCCGCAGGCTTTAAAAAAAAAACACTGATTACGTTTTCAAAGTTGAAGAAAATAATTAGTTTTAAAGCATCTGTAATTTCAAAGAGCGATAGTATGTTGATTAAAAAGTCCGTAGAAATAAATAATAATATATTGTTGCAGGGAGGGGGAACAGGCAAGACACAGGCAAATTGTAGAATATTTCACCAAAAATAAGTACACCTACGTTTTTATTTTAAAAGAGTTCCATTCATGAACTAAAAAAGAATAAACTCTTTGAAGACTGAATTTTTAATTAAAAGTCCTATAATAGTCAGATGAAGTTTTATATCTTGTAGCATGAGAGATATTAGCTTTGATATTACAAAGGAGATATCAGTGTATGTTGTGTGCCTACTGGGTGCTTAGGGATACAGTTCATTACGATAGAAGCCTTCCTCAAGGAGCTTACAGTCAGTAGACATTTGGAGGGCTAGGAGTTTCAGTAGAATCAGAAATGTAATTTACTTCAAAAGACTTTCTTTTTTTCCGATGGTGTCTCACTTTGTCTCCCAGGATGGAGTGCAGTGGCACAATCTTAGCTCACTGCAACCTCTGCCTCCCAGGTTCAAGTGATTCTCCTGCCTCAGCCTCCCGAGTAGCTGGGACTACAGACAGGCACGCGCCACCGCCATGCCTGGCTAATTCTTTTTGTATTTTTTAGTAGAGACGGGGTTTTGCCGTGTTGGCCAGGCTGGTCTCAAACTTCTAACCTCAAGCGATTTGCCCTCCTTGGCCTCCCAAAGTGCTGGGATTACAGGCCTGAGCCACCATGCCCCACCCCCGAAAAAAATTTTTAAATGCTGATTTATATAATAAAATTACTTCAGCGATAGACAGTGGAAATAGCAGTTGACTTACCTGGTTGCAGTAATCTGTACGAAGTGGTCTTGCAGCATTTGCTAGTGACACATCCTCAAGTCTCATGAACCACATTCCCACAAAGCCTTGGAATGTCTAATTGCGCCACTAAGTTATGCTGGTAGAAGTAATTGAACATTTGGAGGGGTGCCAGCAGGCCTTTCTGAAAGTGACTGCATACACTGGCAGTAAGGAAGCCACTGTCATGGCTTCACTGGGAAGCTGGCAAGGTGACTCATTAAGTGAGTCCATCGGACCTATCAATCTTGAGTAATTCGGGAATTTCAAAATGTTCACCAGCCAAATAACAAAGAAATGTCCCAGACATTGCTATTCAAACTAGTAATGGTGAAAATCTGAAGATTTCCGACCTAAACTGCACAGTTACCAAACAGCACACTTT